ATATATATATATATATATATATATATATATATATATATATATATATATATATATATATATATGTATATTTTTATTTATTTATTTATTTATATTTATATATATATGTGTGTGTGTGTATATGTGTATTGGTAATATATAAGAAAAAAAGAAATGAAAAATAATTTATAATAATATAGAAAAAAGAAAAAAATATTTTTGAGATAAAATGATGCAAATAAAAAATAAAAAATAAAAAATAAAAAATAATTTAGAGTTATAGATTATTTATAATAAAAAATAAAACAAAAAAAGACAGAAACAAAAAGTAAAATAAAATAAAAAGAAACAGACAGACAGATAGAAGAAGCAGAGAAAAAAAGAAATAAAAACAATCAACAGATAGACAAAGGGACAACAGATAAGGGTTTAGGGTTTTAGCAGCTAGGGTTTAGGGTTTAGGGTATAACCAGCTAGGGTTTAGAGTGTAAGCAGCTAGGTTTTAGGGTTTAAGAAGCTAGGGTTTAGGGTTTAAGGTTTACAGGGTCTGCGTCTGGCTAGGGGGGAGCGATCGCTGCCCCCCGGTATGTTTAGGGTTTAGGGTTTAGGGTTTAGGGTTTACAGGGTCTGCGTCTGGCTAGGGGGGAGCGATCGCTGCCCCCCGGTAGCTGTAGTGTTTAGGGTTTAGGGTTTAGGGTTTACAGGGTCTGCGTCTGGCTAGGGGGGAGCGATCGCTGCCCCCCTGTATGTTTAGGGTTTAGGGTTTAGGGTTTAGGGTTTACAGGGTCTGCGTCTGGCTAGGGGGGAGCGATCGCTGCCCCCCTGTATGTTTAGGGTGTAGGGTTTAGGGTTTAGGGTTTAGGGTTTACAGGGTCTGCGTCTGGCTAGGGGGGAGCGATCGCTGGCCCCCGGTAGCTGTAGTGTTTAGGGTTTAGGGTTTAGGGTTTACAGGGTCTGCGTCTGGCTAGGGGGGAGCGATCGCTGCCCCCCCTTATGTTTAGGGTTTAGGGTTTAAGCAGCTAGGGTTTAGGGTTTAGGGTTTAGGGTTTACAGGGTCTGCGTCTGGCTAGGGGGAAGCGATCGCTGCCCCCCTGTATGTTTAGGGTGTAGGGTTTAGGGTTTAGGGTTTAGGGTTTACAGGGTCTGCGTCTGGCTAGGGGGGAGCGATCGCTGGCGCCTGGTATGTCTGATCGTTGTGTTTCATTTGCTGAGGCGCCGAGGGTACCCTGCAGGGGAGAAGAAACCTGGCGGGGTCGGGGGGGGGTCAAATCCTCCTCCATTGCTGCTGCTGCTGCTGCTGCTGCTGCTGCTGCTGCTGCTGCTGATGCTGATGGTGGTGATGGTGGTGGTGATGGTGGTGGTGATGGTGGTGGTGGTGGTGGTGTTGGTGGCGGTGGTTGTGGTGTTTATGCTGCTGCTGATACTGGAGTTCTTGATGCTCACGCGGGGGTTGCTGCTGTTGCTGCTGTTGCTGCTGCTGCTGCTGCTGCTGCACCGGTCGTTGCTGCTGCTGCTGCTGCTGCTGCTGCTGACGATGCTGGAGCTACTGCTGCTGCAGCTGTTGCTGCTGCTGCTGTGTTTAGAAAAGATAAAGAAAGGAAGCCGCGAGGCGGCGGGTGCGGTGGCGTGGTTCAGAGGTGCCTATACACCCCAGGGTGTGTTTCTTTTTCGTCTTCTTTTTTATAAATAAATGAAATAACAAATTTATAAAAAGAAAAACATAATTAAACAATAAAATAGGTCTATTAAGGGACCTAAGCAGCAGCTGCTGCAGCAACAACAACAACCCCCCCAAAACAACACCCCCCACCACCCGCGCAGCAACTGCCTGCAGCAGCAGCAGCAGCAGCAGCAGCAGCAGCAGCAGCAGCAGCAGGAATCGATTGTTAGCGCTTCTATAAGAATATTTAGTTTGTCTCAACCGTTAAACACAGTAATTTAAGTGTACAATATACACAAGTCTGCTGCAGCAGCAGCAGCAGCAGTTGCTGTTGCTGCTGCTGCTGCTGCTGCTGTTACTGTCGTTGCTGCTATGGTGTTGCTACAGTTGCTGCTGCTGCGTCTGCTGCTGCTGCTGCTGCTGCTGCTCCTTGGTATGTTTAGGTGCTCACACGGCTCTGCCGCTGCAGTACCTCCTACACAGCAACTGTACGACTCTCGCCTGTGTTGCTGCTGCACTCTGCTGCCGCTGCTGCTGCTGCTGCTGCTGCTGCTGCTGCTATTTTCTATGGGGGCAAAAACTCTAGCTTATTGCTGCTGCTGTACTTCTGCTGCTGCATGCGCAGCGGAGACAACCTGCTGCACTGGCAACTCGTTAAGAGGTGTCCATACACCTCAAACAAAGCTGCAGCAGCAGCAGCAGCAGCAGCAGCAGTTGCTGCTGCTGCTGCTGCTGCTGCTG